CGGAAGGAAGCGCACTGAAGCGCCGCGCCGCGCGTCTTCCCACTTCTCCCCCACCCCCACCCCCACCGCCGCTCGTTGGAGGTGGGGGCGATCGCCGTCCGTAGGAGGTTCCGGGTTCGCGTGCTTATTTCTTGAAAGGAAAGCGGTTCTTAGATTATTATTTGTTAGTTTTTCTTGACCTCTCGCCTCATATAGGAATGGATGTAGTTCTTGAGATAACTTCATGGTAGAAAAAAATCTTCATTTTTTTCCCCTCATTTTCTTGTTGCCAACTTTAGAATCGATTCTTACAATCTATTTTTTATAGTTCCTAAATTATTAAAGATTTGGATCGTATAAAATTGATTTTTTAAATCGTTAGTTTGTAAACAATATTCTTCTGAATGAATATTATTACTGGCTGAGGTGGTTCAGGGTACAGATTGATGTCACTACATTTCCTCTGACTGAGAAGTCCTAGGGTCCGAGTCCTGACAGTGGCGGATTTAGGTCACTGGCTAAATAGCTGGGTCGAATTCATACGCTGCCTGGAGGAGAATTCTATCGGCTGGCTGCTCTGCTCGGTAGTTTTTCGTGGTTTCTCCGATCAACACCAGGCGAATACCGATGCTGTAGCCCAAGAAACGGGCCACGGATCGTCAACGATGTTTCTTTCCTCTACCCTCACTTCTCACGTACCTACTCACTTGCACTACTGCACTACTACTATATATGTCGGGAGCTTAAAGCTTATCCCGCCTGGGACGGTGTCCCGCATGCACTTCTTTGGGAATATCACGGTAGTGTAGCTTAGGACCTCACCGTTCATGAAGGGAAGAACACCGCCATATCCCGCGATAAATATGGCCTAAACTTAACAGGATTAACGATCATAGCAGTTGATGTAAACATGAAATAATCATTCAATCTAGTGATAAGTTGTATTGATTCTTCTCGGTGATTCTTTCACAATTATCCCTAATTGTAGTGGGTGGCTCTCTGACAACATTGGAAAATCAACCAGCTTCTACAGTACATTTGACAATGACCTCAGTCGGCATTAAATGAAACCCAACTAATCGCGATTCAAGGAGCGTGCTGACTGGACCGGAACACTGAACAGTTAGTTATTCCAATCGACATGCCTGTGTGTTCTTCAGACTTCGTCAATATTCTGACATTGGATCCCTCGCGATGTAAAAAGCAGCGAATGTAAAACCCTTCGAATTGATGTTCTTTTGTCATTTCGTGTGCGCTGGAGGGGGGTGGGGCGCGCAGCTCGTCCGTGTTTGTCGAGTCGAGGTGCGCGGCGCAGATGCCGCGACCGCCCATGCGTGCGTCGCTGTTGACTTTCCGCCCCCGCCCCCCACCCCGCGCCTGTACGGGTGGCTTCTACCGCGGTGCGGGGCGCCGATGGGGCACCACGGCTGGCCGCCCGGTACCCCCTCAACCTCGAGTGGCGTTTGACCCTTCGGTGCCTGCTTTCGCCCGCCTGGTTTTGGATTTCCTATTTGGGAATTTTGTTTTCCTTGCACTTATCCAGTGTTACTGGGTTGTTTCAGGCCGCCCGTACAACCAATTGTTGATAAGAACTTCGTGATAACATGACAGGTTTGTAGGGTTTGAGGATGTTATGAGGGAATCGGTGGAAAATGGCTTTTGCATATGGTTCGAGGTTACAAGAGAGAGTACTTTCACATACTGAAAATGGACACCATTGGAACTGTTGTCACATTAAATAAGTTTCCGTATTCTATAAAGCTTTATTTCTTACGTTAAAGGTTGGTATTTGGTGTTAGATGATGTGATAGATAAAGTAATTTTATTTCTTATTTTGAAACGGTTCAATTTTTTTTACAATCTACTTCGGTCATTGCTAAATTGCGAGAAAATTACTTGCCCTTGATCTTGATAAATCTGTCTTTTAAACCTCTTCCATTAGTGTCGTACTCCTTTAATACTGAAAACGTATTTCCCCAGTAGTTACTTATTTGCTTGTTTTTTTCGTCCTTAGTTGTTTGGTAGGAATTCGTAAATACTTCGCAGTAACCAGAAATAGACTGCACTTATTATTATTATTATTATTATTATTATTATTATTATTATTATTATTATTATTATTATTATT